TGTGTTAAGAAATAGTTTCACATCACAAAAGAAACTTTAACAAATTATTCATTAGTTCCAGTGGTGTGCTAGTAAATGTATAACAACTGATTCTCAAAAGAATGTACACATTTATACACAGATACATATTTATTACAAATTCTATTGATATGAAGGACTACAGCATGCAATTTACAAATAATAGTAAAATAAGTAATAATCTTTATAACACATACCATACAACTAATTGGTTCTCACAGAACACTTTCATTGATTTTTGCAGAACTTTTTTATCGATAGCTAACCTGTGGTTCTAATTCAACTGTGATTTGACAAATAGAGTTGTGTCTTATTTTTCAATAAATTTATTGTTATTAAATCTGAACTACTATTAAATGTAATCTACTATTAAACGTGAGAGTAGGTTAGAATGGTTGTTTGGAGGTGCGAGGGAGGAAAAAACATTTCCTAACTGGGCAGGTCATGGTGGGTAGTCCCGCCCCGGCATACAACTTCTTTTGTAAAATGTTTACCTTTGGACACTTCCAGTCAAGATGGCAGAGTAGGTAAACACTGTGCTTGCTCCTCTTATGATTACTTCAAATTTACAATTACACTACAGAACAACCATCACGGAGAACAGCCTAAGGATGAGGTGAACATTAGTCCTACAACTAAGAATATACAGAAAAAAACATGTCAAGACTGGTAGAAGTGGAGATGCAGAATGGGCAGGCCCCACACCCATGTGTGGAAGTTATAACATGAGAGGCATAACGTGGACACCCCCTGAGGCACGAGGGGTCGCAGCCCCACACCAGGCTCCATAGCCCAAGGAAATGCAGATTAGACCAAAATGAGATACTACTTCTCAAACAGCCTTGGGATAAGTGAGCTACTACTTCCCAAAGAGCTATTGTCAAAAAGTAGAACATGCATATTGAGGAGGATGTGGAGAATTAGATTCTGTGCACTGCTGGTGGGACTGTGAAATGGTTCAGTCATTACAGAAGATGGAATGGCAATTCCTCAACAAAATAAATGGAACTGCCATATGACTCAGCAATGACACTTCTGAGTATATATCCCCCCAAAAATGTGTTAACCTAAAAATGAAGGCCAAAGGGAGAGGCAACAAGCCTCTCTTATTTGAGATCCGATAGAAGAGCTATTCAGCAAGCACTTATTTAGGCAGAAACCCGAATAGTGTTCCTAGTAGGAGGTAAAGGTAAGGGGTATTTATGAGCAAGGGAAGGGAAATAATTTTATCAATAAAAGAAAGGCATTTCTGTCAATGCAAATAAACTAGCATAATGATGCTGATTCTAAAGACAGTTTTTAATCTCCAGTTCAATCATCATAATATTGACTTTCTTGTTATCTTTGCAAACAGTGGTTTGGGAGGCAATGTTGGTTTACGCCCAGTCCAAAGGATGATGCTTTGCATCATCCACCCAGTTTCGACATTCCAGCGGTTGGAGGAGTATGACATACAAGGCAGTTCCCTTGCAGAGAAGTTCTGACTCCATTTTGGAGTGGTTTGGTTTACATTATTGTAACAGTGGAAAATTTTAACAGTGGGAAATTGTAACCCACCCTACCATTCTTTTGACATTATTTCTATAAATGCTGACTTGGACTAATATGTAGCTTGTAGATGAACAGCATGTATAGATAAGAATCCTAGGAACTAACTTCAAAAGATACAGACTCTTCAGAGATCCTAGTTCTGGGAGATCTGCTGACTTTCAACTGTGGAGCCAGGATAATGTGAAGCTGAGATTACATAAAGCCGGGATGACGAAACCAGGATGGTGCACAGTGGACCATCACTTGTCTTACCTTAATGGATTGTGCTCGTCTGCACGTAAAGAACTTTGCAACCCCCTCCCTTGGTCTCTTTGTTCTGTTCCCCTCTCCCTCCTTGGAAAAACCTCTGCCTCAATGAGATGTAGAGATGGACTTGGAAACATGAGTCTTCCCTCTTTCAGATGGCCAGTATCTGAATAAACCACTTTTCTTTACATTAGCACCTGCCTTGCAAGCATTGTTTTCAAAAAGGCAGGCAGCTGGACCTGCATTTGCTTATAGTTTTTGGTAACCCACCCAGGACAATGTGAACGCAGGTAAGGCCCAGGGTGCCTGGGTTGGAGTCCCAGATGGCCTGCATTCAGTTACATCATTTTTCACAATTGAAAGCACAGACTTTGTAGCCATGCAGAAACTTCTTTTGTTTAATATGACCCTTTCTTTTTTATGTTTGTTCAGTCCCTTCCTTAGTCACTAAGTCTTTAGGATGTCAAATTCTGGTCGGCATCAAACTGAAGAACAAAGCCTCAAGTCAGTTGACCATAGAAACCGAGTTTGGCTCAAACTGAAGATAATATCTTTTTTATTAAGTGTTTCAGCCCCAGGCTCACATTGACCCTACCCACCACACTCTCATGAAACTAGACAGAATGATGCCATGATTGATATCAGGCCTTGACACAATGATCAGCTCCTCTCTACCTTGGCCCCAAACCAATCAGTAGAGCCTAGGACTCCAACTTGCTTAATCACCACGATTAACAGTTTTTCCCATATATGATCTGTCCCCGTGCCATCCAGGAGCCAGGTCTTTGAGCACAAACTCACCTGTGATTCCAGACTTGCTGCCATTTTCTTAAAAAAAAGAAAAAAGAAAAGCCTTTACTTTCTTTGCTTCAAACTCTTTTTCACGTTTGATTGGGCTTTGCTACATGAAGGCAAATAAACCCCTTTAGTTCAGTAACAACTTAAAAAGATATTTGTACACCACATTCAAGTAGCATTATTAATAGTAGCCAAAAGGTGAAAAAAAAAAAAAAAACAATGTTCACTGATATATTAATGGATAAACAAGATATGATATATACATACAAAGGAATATTATTCAGCCTTAGAAAAAGAAGTAACTTCTGACACATGCTAAAACATGGATAAATCTTGAGGACATTACACAAAGTGAAATAAGTCAGTTACCCACAGACAAATATTATATGATTCCAGTTATGTGAGAACCGAAGGACTCAAATTCATAGAGGTAGCGCGTAGAATGGTGATTGCCAAGGTCTGAGGGAAAGGCGGACGGGGAGGCAGGGTTCACTGGCTGCAGAGTTTCAGTTTGGGATGATGAAAGGCTCTGAAGGGAGTGGCGGTGACGGCCGTGAAGGAATGTGAGCACGCTTACTGCCGCGGGGCCACCCGCCTAAGAACAGTTAAAGATGGTAAATCTTGGTATGTAAACTTCATCCTAAAATGCTTTTTAAAAGAAAGAAAGAAAGAAAGAAGGAAGGAAGGAAGGAAGGAAGGAAGGAAGGAAGGAAGGAAGGAAGGAAGGAAGGAAAGGGAAAGGAAAGGAAAGAAAGAAAGAAAGAAAGAAAGAAAGAAAGAAAGAAAGAAAGAAAAGAAAAAAGGAAGGAAGGAAGGAAGGAAAGAAAGGAAAGAAAGAAAGAAAGAGAAAGAAAGAAAGAAAGAAAGAAAGAAAGAAAGAGAAAGAAAGGAAAGAAAGGAAAGAAAGAAAGAAAGAAAGAAAGAAAGAAAGAAAGAAAGAAAGAAAGAAAGAAAGAGAAAGAAAGAAAGAAAGAAAAGAAAGAACAGGCCTGGCTTGCTGAATTTTGAAGAAATGTGAAGACTGCATCTGCTGTTGTGCAAAGCATAAATCTTTGGACACCTAGCAGGGACTCCAAACTGACACCCTCCTCCTTCCCTCCCCAAGGTGGCTAGATTACTTTTTAAAAATTAGAGTTGATATACAATATTATATTAGTGTACAGCACAGCGATTAGACATTTATATATCTTACAAAGTGATCGCCACAATAAGGCTTATCACACATCTGACACCGTACATAATATTACAGTGTTATCAACTATATTCCCTATGCTGTACTTTACATCCCCCTGACTCATTTTATAACTGGTGGTTTGCACTTCTTACTAATCCCTTTCATCTTTTACACCCACCCACACCCGTCCAGCAACCAAAGCCGCTGAGATTATTGATTGCACTGAGAAATCAAATCTGTTAAACAGAGGGAAGTGTTACCATTTAAAATTAGATTATAATGATGATTCTATCGTATTCCTATTACCCTCCTTGTCAAAAGCTTTACCTTAAAAGATGTGCGCACCATCCTTAGCACATTAAACCCTCAAAAATAAAACAGGAAGAAAAAATTGCCTACAAAAGCAACAGAAGGCTGCAGCATGGACTCACAGCTGCTAATTCCACTCCTGCTGGCTCTTTTCAGCTTCCAAAAGCTGTCTACGCACCATTGCTGTTCTATCCCTAAGGTTTCAATAGAAAATAAACGTGTGCTGGATTTGGGTTATTTCTTAGCTTCTAAGGTTCTACATCTAAACAATGGCCTTCGTGAGTTCCCACAATGACTGGAAAGCTGGTTACCTCTCATTATCCGTTTTTAGTTCCTATAGTACAAAATGCAAAGCGCGTCTCTCTCCTTCATCTTGATTTCTCTTTAATCTTCTCCCCACCCTACACCCCCGTGTCGCCCACCTTTCCTTCCACCTCCCTTCTTTACCCTCTTCCGCTCTTTCCAGTGATGAGCTCGCAGAACCCGCCACAAGTCCAACACAAACCGTGTGATTTCTCTTTAGAAAAATTGGTCCCTCAAAAGAGGCGAGAATAGCCCGGTGGTAGACGCAGGGGTGGACCCTCCAACACCGCCAGCAGTGGGATTGCGGGCGCCCAGGCTCCTGGGTCGGGCCGGGATCCTGGCCGGTGCTCGCTCCTCGCTGGGAACAACTTTCCCACTGTTCCTGCAGGAGCGGGTGCCAGCCGCCAGCGCCGCCCGGGGCGCCCCGGGTGCCAGGGTCGGATCGGGTGACGACGCTGTCCTGGCCGCGGGGATGGACTCCAGGCTGAAGAGGGCCCGCCCCGGTCCCGCCCCGGTCCCGCCCCGGTCGCGCCCCGCTCGCCTGCTCTTCTTGGTGCCTCACTTCTTTCGCCTGCATTCGCTCGGCTCGCCTGCACTTGCGCCCGCTCCACGCACCGCAGCCATGTGTCCCGGAGCCCCACGGGCGTTAACGCCGCGGCTCCTAGCGCTGGGCGCGCTGCTGTGGCAGGCGGCGGGCGCCTGGGAACTCACCATCCTGCACACCAACGATTTGCACAGCCGGCTGGAGCAGACCAGCGAGGACTCCAGCAAGTGCGTGAACACCAACCGCTGCGTGGGCGGCGTAGCCAGGCTGTTCACTCAAGTGCGGCGGATCCGGGCCGCCGAGCCCCACGTGCTATTCCTCGACGCTGGCGACCAGTACCAGGGCACCATCTGGTTCACCGTGTACAAGGGAGCTGAGGTGGCTCACTTCATGAACGCCCTGGGCTACAATGCCATGGTAAGCCGGCGGCCAGCGCGGAGGCTCGGGAGCCCGTGGAGGTCTCGGGATGGAGCGAGCAGCCGGGCAGCCGGGGTGCAGGAGGAGCCGATGGCAGGGCGCGAGGTGGCAAGCTTAGGACCCGGCGGAGATGTGGGGGGAAAGCGAGGCTTCGGCCAGTGTGCCAGGGAGATGTAGACGCAGAAGCCTCTCGGATGGTTAGTCTTAAACGTATTGAAGTTCGGCGCCCACCATGAGGTGCAGTATTTGGAGGAGCAGGACCCAGCCCTGCCCATGAGAGGGTTCAGCTGGACTGCGCGGGAGTTTAACAACTACCCAGTGCCGGGGACCCAAGCAGACCCGCCACGCTTCTCGCTCATACACTGCTCCAGCTGTCTAAGAATGCTTTATCTCGATTTTATTGGAAAGGAAACGCAGAGTCAAAGACGTTGAGTACACGCTCCAGGGCACCAGCCCCCAAAAACGGAGACCAAACTAGGTGTGGATTCCAGAGCCATCTGACTCTGGAGCTTGACCCTGATTAAGTTCACAGCTTTGGGTGAGATTCCCTGCTCAGCTACCTTATGTGTGCAAGTTATTTACTCTCTCCGTGCCTCAGTTCCCTCCAGCCTCTATAAAATGGGAATAAGAACTGCATCTCCCTCAAAGGGTTGCCCGGCACAGAGTACATATAGCCTCACTAAATGTTAGTTATTATTATTACCAGGCACTGCTGTGTAAATTTTTTAAAAAAGAAAAGAATAGAAAAGAAAGGAAGAAAGAAAGAAAGAAAGAAAGAAAGAAAGAAAGAAAGAAAGAAAGAAAGAAAGAAAGAAAGAAAGAAAGAAAGAAGCTTCCAGAGAGGACCAATATTCTGAAACACTGGGGTTTCAAAGGATTTCAGTAAAATCAGTTTGGCTGCAGAGACCTAGGAAGAGTCCAACTTAGAGATGAGGGAGTCTTAAAATACAGGCAAAGCTTTAAGTCCAAGCTCCCAAATGATCTCTTAAGGTTACACCTTATTTGTTGGACTGAATTTTAGAAGAGGAACTGAGAGAGGTTACACATTAATAAATAAGTATAACCAAAACCTATATATGGTTGGTTTGCTTGTTTAAGCAAACCACCACCACCCAAGTTTAACCCTCTGTCAAATCCTCGAGGAAAGGGATTCTGTGGAGAAACTGGGACAAGAAATCTGAGGAGCTTCAGAAGGGAAAGAACAGAGCAAGGGTCCAGGGAGATGAGTAAAGCCCATGGGTGTGAACAGGAAGGAGAGGTGTGGTCCGTCCTGGGATACAGAAGGACTAACAATATGCTGTGTGTCGGAAGAGCACTGATGTCAGCAGAGGACAATGCTGTATTTTCCTGGAAACTTATAGAGAGGACAGGATAAGATGATAAGAGAGTAGAGTTGTTTAGTTTGTTTGTTTTTCCTCTAACAAGGAAGCTCATTTTAGAGAGATGAGAGAAGGCCATTCTGATTGCTGGTTTTAAGGTTATCAGGAACGCTTGAAGCAACAGCAATTCAAAGGGACCCCTAAGTCCCAGAATTTATCTGGGGGGCTCACCAGCCCCTGACTCCACAAAAGAATTGTGGGCCTCAAGAACTCTGTGTGATCTCAGCAATAGTATCTCCACCACTCAACCTGCCTGATGTTTTGCACAAGGTAATGGCAAAATAAGTATTTATTTAATTGAATTATTACTAGCTTATGTCTCCGTTTCCCCTGCAGAAAGATAGGATTAACCTTACATGAGGTTTTTTTTTTATTTCACATATAAACCACAACTTTGTAAACTTTTCTTTTTGTGACACCCTTTTCTTCACAGTTGTATACACTCCTTTTGGTGAAAAAGGAAAATTCATAGTTTTCTCTAATAATACTGTTTTTGTCTTTAAGTTAAATTGAGCTTGTGGTGTTAATCACCTTAGCAAGTGTTTATGACAGGGCTCTGGGTGAGGCTTGGGCAATCTGCAAGTTATAATCACCATCAGGAATTTTAGAATACTTTATGTTGGATGGAATTACCTTCCTTTAAATTTCACTCAAAGTGATTGGCCCGGGACTTGAAAAATAGGCTACTTACATAGTTGGCAGGGTATAAAGAGGGTGAGGCGTGCCAGTGGTAAAGCTGGTTGAAAGGCACCTTTCTGATATCATCTCATCTGAACTTAGTGCCTTTCTGGGGTTTGACAAGCATAATTTGACCTGCATAAAATACTCGTTCTTGTAGTGCTTTAGCATATGGCAAAACTCTGCCATATTCTTGTTTTACAGAGATTTTTTGCTGTCATTTTGTTTATACTACTCTCAGAGAATTTATTAAAAGATCCCCCTCACCCCTTACCTGCTACCTCATCTTGCATCTCAGGAAGCTGGAGATTCAGATCAGAGTGGAAAACAGCGGTGGAGGGGCAATCTCCAGTTCTCTAAAACTAGACCTAGTTAGAGGAGCCACGGATAAGGACTCAAGGGTGTGGGAGGCAAAGAGGAAATTACTAGAACCTAGCTTAACCCCAGGAGCTTCTAGCACAAGTCTCTGAGGAGATGTAGACTTTCTAGACCTGCTGCATTCCAGCGAGAGCTGCTGAAGCAGTTCTAATAGCCCTTGGTGTCCCAAGGTGAGACTGGAGACCTGGGCCCACTGCTAGGCAGAAAGCTCTAGAAAAAGGACATCAAAAGTCGCTTGTTGGTAGCTGGAGGGCTGGAGGACTGATGTTCCCCAGGCAGTAGAAAGACAACATGGATACATTCACAGTGTGGGCCCATGTGGCCAGGCTGCTTTCTCTGACCTCAGGGTCCCCAGCTGTAAAACAGGAAGGATAACCCTCATCTGTGGGTAGGATATTTGTGAACAGTATATGTGATAATTCATGTGAAACTCCCTAACACCCTGTTGGCTTGTTGTAAGTGCTCAGCAGAAGTTTCAGTCCAGGTGTTCTGCCAAAAAAAAAAAAAAAAAAAAAAAAAAAAGTTGAGAGGAAGGGAAGGTTTGGCTTTTGCAGCTATCAGCTTATCTGATTCTGACAACCTGGCATGGTCTACCTCCTTTCTCTGTCCCCTTCCCCATCATTTCTAAGTCCCATTGTCTAAGCTATCCTTAATGTTTACTCATTGAGCAGACATATGAAATCCCTCACCCTTAAAGCACAAAGCCAAACAAATTCATCTCTAGAGCTGAGATTCTAACCATCACCATGGCGGTGGGTAGGCTGTGAGGAAGGCAGCCTCAGTGGAGAAGGGCAGCCTCCTCTCTAGCTGCCCCTGCTTCTGAGGCCCTGCCCCTAGCACAGTTTCTGTCTACAAATTGCTCCAAGGCACCCGAGCCTGCGGGGACCATGGCCCCAATCTTCAACTTAACTCACCCAGGGGACCATTACTCAGGTATTCATGTCCCACATAGGTAACCATTCTAACATGTTAGATGTTTACGTTTTGTTTCCATAAGTACTTGTAGAATCTTTGTTATTATCTGAGGTGCTTGTATTTTTAAATTATGTAACTCATCCTGTTACTTAGCTCATCCTGCTTCTTACTTTTGTCCCTGTCACTCTGCGTTGACCATGCACGTACATATAATGTGCATCATGCTCCACAGGGATCTCCACAGACTTTGCCGCCTGCTCCTCCCTCCACCCCCGAGTGATGGGTCCACTTGGAGGTCACACAAATTATGCTGCAATCCCACAAACATGCTGCTCCAAATAGCCTTCTGTAGGTCCTGCCTGTGAGGAGTTCTCTGGGACCCATGCACATGGGCAGAATTCCTGGCCACAGGCATGTGTGTACTGACTTTAACTAAGGACTGCCAGATTGCTTTCTTGAATGACTGGAGCCCTCTACTCCCCCTCGCACCTTTAAACAAATGGTGTCCTAAGAAGCGTTTCAATCCAGTTAACAGGTGGGAGAATGGGGCAAAGGTGCAGAGGCAGGAATCTGGTCGCTGGACCAGCCTGTACCATGGCGAATGGTAGGAATCATGTGAGGAGAGGCTGTGTACAGCTTACAGGCCACCTGGAAAAGTTTGGGCTCTCCTCTCTTGTCAGGGCAGCCACTGGAGGTTTCTGAGTACAGCATGACTCTGGTATAAGAAAAAAGAAAAAAGAAATGGTCTTTGTACCCAGTTTCTGAGGTGACTAATGGCTGGGGACCCCTAGATAGCCCTAGAATGAGAGCTGGCGGCCCGAAAGACCAAGCCATAATTAGTGGGTTCAACCTTCAGCCTTCTGGGATGGGAGAGGGACCAAAGATTGAGCTAGTCACCAATGGCCAGTGATTTAATCAATTGTGCCTGTGTAATGAACCTTCTGTTAAAAACTCCTAAGTGATGGGGTTCCGCAAGCTTCTGGGTTAGCAAATGCATCGAGGTGCTGGGAGGGTGGTGTGCCCAGAGAGGGCATGGAAACCACACGCCTCCTCTAACCCCCTCCACACCTTGCCCTATACATGGCTTCCATTTGGCTATTCCTGAGTTGTACCCTTTATAATACACCAGTAATAGTAACTAAGCACTCTCCTGAATTTTGTGAGTCATTCCAGCAAACTATCAAACCTGTGGAGGTTTGATAGCCGATCAGTCAGAAGCACAGGTGGCCCAGAACTGCCAACTATCATCTGAAGTGGAGGCAGTCTTGTAGGACTGACCCCTTACCTTGTGGGAACTGCTGCCCACTCCTGGCAGATGGTATCAGAATTGAATAGAGTTGTCAGACACCCGGCTGATGTCTGCAGAGAATTGGTTGATGTGAGAAAAACGTCTCAGCAACATCGAAGAATCACAGTTTTAGAAGATGAGATGTGGGTGGAAGGAGAAGACACGACAGAAGAGGGTCAGAGAAGCGGCAGGGCAGCAGTGTAGGTGTGAGATGCTGAGAACTGAACTGTGGCGATGGGGAAAGAAAGGCCGAATCCAGGGGAGCCAGTTTTAACATACAGGCAGTACGGCCTATGGCTGAAAGGATGAACTCCCAGTGACTGTGTCTGGGATCAAGTCCTCTTTCTGCCCCTTAGAATCTA